CCTAAGGAACGATCTCCCCATGGAGATTCGTACCCTCACCACCCTCCAGACCTTCCGCACAGCCCTTAAAATCTGGCTATCCCGTCAGGCCTGGGGTTAAAGACCGTAACCCACCCGAATAGTATGAATGTTGTGCTTTTAATGATGTACTGTCTTATGTGTTAATTGTTTGTTTCCCCCCCTTCTTGAGTTGTAAGCCGCCCTGAGTCCCCCCAGGAAAAAGGGCGGCATATAAATAAATTACTCAATACTCAATACTCAATTAACCTCAGAGGTAAGCCAAATGCAGATAATAAGATAGAAGGTAACTTTATGACAGCACTTCCGTATGAAATGCTTTGCACCATTTTGGGATTGACTCTGGACTTGTTTAGTTTCTCAATACTAACAGCTTTTGGGAATGGAAGTATTTTCTTTTTTGGCTGTCCTCTTTATTTGAAATGACAGGAAAGCTGATGTTTTCCATTTGAACTGCTGCTGTTCTGCAGATTTTGTGGATGATTAATTTTCTGAATGGGGGAAGACTCAATTCCAGGTTTAAAGTTCAGGACAGCTATTATTCTCCCCATCCGACTTGAGGTTTACCAGTCTGCCCTGTCCATATGTAGGGTTTAGAATTTATCTGTCCCACTCCAAGTATGTGTGACAGAACACAATGATAGACACAGGTGCATGATTCCAATATGTTAAAAGCTGGAAGGATGCCAACATACTGTCATTTTACCTTTGCATCTCACAGGGGCTTCTTACATGCAAAGAGAATGGGGAGTGGGCTGTGTGAACCCTACTGTAAACTGCACATGTGAGGGATCGAGGTTGCACACTCCTCCCCTTCCCCTCAGTCCATGGGAAATTTGTCTTCCATGAAACTCATCCCTGGTGCCAAAAAAGGTTGGGCACCACTGGTCTGGATAATCAGCTCTTTATTCTGAATTGTCTTAGACTTTTGCATACAACTTGACCTTAGATACTTATTGCAGACAAGAATCTAATATTGCAATTTAGCAACCGAAGATCTGACAATCGTCACTCTGTTCCAACATAAATTAGGCTTTTTTTTCATGCCTGAGGCAAACAATATTTAGTCTTTGTCCTCCAGGCCACACAACATATCTGGCCTCTGCTGATGCTCTCAATCTTGACCACTGAGCTTCCAGTCTCAAAACTTACAGTCCTTTAATCACTAAAATAAGAAAAGAGGCAGGGGGCAGGCAGTCATGTGGACATATGAACCAACCCCCGTTGTCCCACTAAGAGATTGCCAAAAGTATAAGGGACATGAAAAGAACAACCCGTCAGTACTCAGTGTAGTCTAATAGAAAAGGCAGGGTAGTTTTGAGACAAAGCAGTACTTTTTCTTTTCTTCCAGGAAAGAAGTCCTATTAGCATTTGTCCTTGAAACGGGCACTAAAATTGCTATTGCTAAATTTCAATAAATCAATGTCCTTTTACTCAAAATAAAAACTCAGTGCCCAGTCGTATCTGCCTGGCCTCATAAAATGGAAGTGTTAAGTAGATTAAGGCATAATTTGTGGTTACTTGGATTTAATTTTTTAAAGTACCAGTATAAAAACATAAATTATCAATTTTATCTTTCATTACATGCTATTTCAGAGTTGCACTTATGTTGAAATATTAAGAAATTTGATAAAAGAACTCTCTCTCTCTCTCCATCCCTCTCTGAAGCTTTTCTGCATCTATGTTACCTAAAAGTACAATGAATTATTTCAAATTATCTTTGACTGTTTTGCAGACTCAGAAATTTCTCCTTAGTCAAGTATCTAAACCTCCCAATGCATAATTTGCCAGGTAATAGAATTGGCAGTAAAGGATTATGGTTTCAATTCACTATGTAATAACTACTGCTTTATCACATTGACAATATAGAATTGTGCCCAGTTGTCTTAAGTTTGTTTACACAAAACACTTTGGACAAAGAGGCTTTGACAAACACCCAGCTACTATATCATTCCTTTTACAGCTGGAGGGTTTAACAACAGTCGGGGCCTTTAAGAGTTTGGTTTATTTGTCCAGTGTGTGAAGGAACAAGTAGAGATAAATATTACAGCTCACAATATTATAAGCACACCTGTGCTTATTTTCCTAACAACCTAAACATGGCATGTGGATATACTGTAATTAACAATGTAGAGAAGACATCTGGGTAACATGGCAAGGCTAATAAGCTTAAATTCACATATTTGTTTTTTTCTAAAATGCTTTAAATATTAACCTATTTTAAAATATGTGATGTTTGGGGCAATTTGTGTATTTTTAATGACCTGTTTTAAAGGTTACAGGTTGGCTCAAAATTATACTTAAATCATGTCTCCACTTGCATTTAATAATGGCAAATCATTCTTGAGCACAGCCATTTCTTTCCCTCACTTCATGATGTTGCTCTCATTTCATCTCTAGCCCATTTACACTTGTAGGAAGTTAGCACCCACCTAGAAAATGAAATATTTCAGGAAACATTAAAGGGCAGAATATTTCCCCCTAAAAGGGAGGAAGAAACCCATCCCCCCACCTTTTTCAATGACCCATTAAGGCTAGAGCCAGTCTATTCTACATAACAAAGATCTACCCCCTTCATCTAGCAAACAGAAACTTACCCCAAGGCACCTGGGAAAGTCGTATTTTCTACAATTCTCTATCCCCCCCTATCCTTTCCCGCCAGAACTTCCTCCTTTCATATCTCCGCCCGTTTTTCTCGTCAGATCTCCGGCCTTGGTCGCTGCCCGTCTCATCCACCCCACTGCGGCCACCCGCTGCCCAGCTGGCTCTTAGCACGCAGCGCTGATCATTTGGAGCCGCGGCTGCCGATCCAGGGGCCTTAGAACAGTGTTTCTCAACCTTGGCAACTTGAAGATGTCCGGACTTCAACTCCCAGAATTCCCCAGCCAGCGAATGCTGGCTGGGGAATTCTGGGAGTTGAAGTCCGGACATCTTCAAGTTGCTAAGGTTGAGAAACACTGCCTTAGAAGAACCGTAGCCCTAGCTGACTCCCGCCGCCGCCCAAGCCTCTGCGCTGCCGCTTCTGCTCCCCCCCCGTTACATTTGTACAGATGCTGCGAACAAAATACATACAAAATACAAAAAGAAACTATAGTTTATTGATTTTTACCGCATTAACAAAAATGACAACGGTGGCTTTGTGCGACCGCTTCTGAGGTTTTCATTGTATTATTAATATGCACTATTAAGATTGCCTTATGTTCAGCACGGCAAATGATTTGGATTTCACTTTGAGGGAGGCTGCTTTTACCACTTAATCCCTTATGCAATTCCGTGCAGCCGAGCTCGCTTTTCGTAACGGGAGGCAAATGGGAAAATCCTCGCTCTGATCTTTTCCAGGTCTTTTTTTCAGTGAATGTGGAGAAACAATGGAAGAAAGTCCCCAACAAAGAGAATAATAGAAGACAAAAAGGTCCCCAACAAAGAGAATAGTAAAAGACAAAAAAGTAAAAGAGGGCGGGGGACGACAAACGAAAAATTTAAAATTGCACTCGTAGCTCTTTCGTTCCGTAGTGGGGGTGGGTGGGGCGAAATTAACCCTTGCAGAACAGCCTTCCCCCTCTCCGCCCCTTGTATCCAATGAGAATGGAGGGGCGTGACCAGCCTCGCTTTTCGTGCCCGGAGACTTATATAAAGCCTTGAAGAGGGCTCGCGCGCTCTTTCGCTTGTACGTTCGGAGCGTGGTAAGTTTGTGGCGGGTTGGAGGAAAGAAAAAAAAATGGGCGCCGCCATTTTGTGCGCGGCTCGCTACTCCCCTTCTCCCCCCCTCCCCCTTGGGTTGATTTGCGACCGTTATAAAGAAGGCGACTTGCACGAGGTCGGCGCTCCTTTTTAGGGCCCGCTCTTGTGGGTTGCCCCTGATCCAGCGCATTTTTACCTCTGTTTTTGAGCCGCGCTGAGACAAAAGAGGGTCGAGCGTCGAATAGAGTGCAATGGAGCTAGCTTTTAAAAATAAAGGATTGGAGAAAACGGGAGGCTTCCCTTTCAAGTATAACCTCTTAACTGAGAAGCCGCCCCTCCCCCCGAGATTTTTCCCTTCCGCGCCAGAAGCCCGCAGTGCTGGATGGGAGCGCGATTATTGGCGGGAAAAAGCAATCCAGGCCTTCGCGGTTCAAGCGCTTCTTACGGCTTGGGTGTTGTTAAAGAGATTAAAACTCATTATTCGAAGCTGTTAGGAGCCAGAATGCTCGTGCAGCCCTTGTAAAAATGCAAATTGTGAAGATCGGACGTTTTGCAGGAATTGCTTCAGGGGGAGAGAGACGCTTTGAAACTGCAAACTTGAGCCCGATGTGGGAGTGAGGCATATCGCTGATTAACGGGCGTTGATTTAATGATATAGTACACGATTTGAACTAGAAGGACTTGGTTTCAATGCTCGGCTGCAACTCAAATTAGTGGCTAGAAGAGAGGAAAAAAATCTGGTTAAATATTATGAGTGTAGTAAATAGTTCGGTTTCAGTTTATGATACTTTAAAAATGACTACCCTGCACATTTTTAGAGCCGAGGTGGCGCAGTGGTTAAATGCAGCACTGCAGGCTACTGCTAGATCAGCAGTTCAGCGGTTCAAATCTCACCGGCTCAGGGTTGACTCAGCCTTCCATCCTTCCGAGGTGGGTAAAATGAGGACCCGGATTGTTGGGGGCAATATGCTGACTCTGTAAACCGCTTAGAGAGGGCTGAAAGCCCTATGAAGTGGTATATAAGTCTACTGCTATTACTATTGGTGGACCAGGGTTGGAGGGAAGCTATGAAAGCATGGCTTACTTAAAGGCCACGTGGTGCGTAACGGGTTGTCATTTGAATTGGTGATTTCATGCTGCATTGTTCAGGATGTTTTAATGGACACATGCAGGTGAATAGCATGAAAAGGAAGCTACTGCTGCCCTCCAGGCATTGGGATTCACTTAAAAAGCTTACAAATACACGGGTATTTGCCATTTGATTTTAAAAACCATCTTTTTTTATGTTCCAGGAAATATGAGCCTAAAACCTGTGATGGTGTTGCTGTTGCACACAATGAACTCAGTGGTACGTTTCACAATTGAATGTTAGTTTAAGTATTGCACCATATTTGATTGTAGGTGAATGTATTTGTTTTATGAAGAAGGGATACATTGGATTAGCACCAATCCTTTGTAATATTGCTGAATTTATCTTGAAACGCAGTGGGTGGTAGAGGCTGTTTTGTGAATGAATAACATCTAAGATTTGGTGTACATTTTTAAATGTACATTTTTAAGAATAATAACACTGTCAGGACTATCCTTCTTGGATACTTTTGTGAGAAATCTAATTTAAATTTTGAAAGAATTAAGTTGCTTTTTTCTGTTTCTCTTTTCTGTCTATTGCCTGCATATAATGCTGAAGCAAATGTTAACAAAGATAAAACAAATGCATTAGGTGTAGATTAAAATAATGGGAATTTAAAAGGGGCCTCATAGGAAATGTTGGCAAAATGTGAAGGAGCATAATGCTCCATAATTGGCTAGTTCCTTGCGGCATGTAGATTTGGTCATACCAAGGTATTCAAAAATTATATTCGCTTGAATTATTTGGAAAGAGTTGTCTCTTGTAGCCTTCACAAGCCATTAAGAATGGTAGTTTGAATTTATGTTGGAGATGTGAATTGAAAGCATCATTTAATGTTAGTGGATGTGTAAAATTAGAATATTTTGGATTCAGGTATGCAACTGATTCAGATAATTTTAAAGATTAATATACAAATTTTTAATCTTGGTCTTCTTTTTTTATATAGTTTTAATTTTCTCTTCAATTATTTTTCTTTATATGAAGTTGCAATTATCTTTTAAAAATATTTTAATATGAAATATTTTCTGGATAAGGATATCCCTATGAATGAGCAGTTTTGGTTAGACTACTGGGCAACAAATTCTATAGTTGGTGCAAATTCTCAATTTGAAGTTAGTGTGACTGATGAAAATAAATTCCTGACCAAATACTATATATCTTATTCACATAATTCTAACTGAAATACTTTTTGTCACAGTAAATATCCTTTTACTATACATGTAGCCCTTGGCTTACAACAGTTCATTTAGTGACAGTTTGAAGATAGTGTTATTGAAAAAAAATGATTTATGACTTTTTCATACAACTATTGCAACATCCCCATGGTCACATCAAAATTGTGATGTTTTGCAACTGGTTTGTATTTATGACAGTTGCAGTGTCCTGAAGTCATGTGATCAGTTTTTGCCAACTTCTGACAGTCAATGAAGCCCAATTCACTTAACCGTATTACTAACATAACCACTGTAGCAGGAAAGGTCATAAAATAGGTCAAAACCCACTTAACAAATATTTCACTTAACATACATGTTGGGTTCAATTATGGCTGTAGGGCTACCTGTATGGAATTTGGCAAATCTGTTGTACATGAATTTTTATCCCACTTTTTAAAAATTAGCTTAACTCAAGATGCCAAACATTTAATACTCCTGCCTTCTGTTTTACACAAGAAGATTGTGAGGTGTGTTGGGCTGAGAGTGAGGCCCAAAGTCACCCAGCTGATTTTTATGCCTGAAGGAGTCATACATCACAGTCCCTGATTTCTAGGCCAGCATCTTAACCAAACTGCCTCTACTAAGAGTATATATGTATAAGGCCTCCTTTTCAATTGTAACAGTCTCTGTTGGAATCTTCACTTTGTAAGAATAGAAACATTTCTGTTGGTGAAATGACATTCTTATTGGAATCATCGTTGAAAGTTACATGTTCTCTTGTGGAATGGAATTTCTCAAATCTATTCTGAGGGGTTTTTTTAGCCTTCTGTAGTTGATTTGAAGATTAGAGACAGAAAATTAATTTTGCTGATGGATGGACAACTCTTAAGAATGTAAAGAATGCAAGCCTGGCTTTGGAAGCCATAATTTGCATTCAATATTTTTTCTTGGCATTATAGTGTTGCATTCATACTAAAATTCCATGTAATAACTTTGAATCAATTCTTGTATGAAATGCTTCTTTATAACAATGTCCTTTACTAGAAATGCAAAATATGGCATAAGAATTTACATTAGCTTTTTCTCTTTTCAGACCTGATAACTACTATTAAGATGAAGGTATGTGTGAACTGTTTTTACTGAAATAAATAGTATGGAATGGCCCAACCAGTGATGAGCCTATCCCGAACCTGACTTCTTGATGAAAAAATGCCAATTTGGATCCGGCTTCTGAGGTTATGCTGCCATTAATAAAACTGGGATTTGTCATGCAGAAACATTGCTTTTAGAATATTCTCTTACACAGATTCTATTTTGACTTCTAGATGAAATTCAGAGAGCAGCTGGGACGCATTTGGCATTGGATCTTGAGTTTCTAATTCCTAACATGCATCAAGTGAGTAAATATTTTGGATTACTGTGTTCTGATTTACTACTAGGCTTAATTTAGATGAGAGTGAAATAAATCTTTGCAACCCCTGCAGATTTAAGATTCAATTTTAAAAATTCAATTCTCATTGCAGCTACACTTTATCATAGGCATTTTTGGTTGGGCAATCCTATCCTATTGACCCCAATTGTGAACTAAAAGAATGAGTTGTGGCAGAAAAAGCCAAGGTTTTTTTAATACATTGCCTATAGTAAAGTATTCCATTATTGCTTTTCAGCAGTGATATGGGAGAAGTCTTAAGACCAATGACAGCCATTATGTCTGCTGAAAAAAAGGTAAGATGATGTACAACACAATTAAACTATTAGCTGGATTAGCTGATAAGAGGACTCCAGTGAATGAACAGTAAAATATCCAGACTATTGAGCAAGCAGAAACATTGCTTTAAAACAGTATTTCAAGCAATTGCTTGTATGTCAATTGAATGATTACTGTACTTGTATTAACTTTTGCTGAGAATTTACAGTTCTGCAAATGTTATATGCCCATATATGTAAATGTCCAACACCAGACCAGAGAATATAGACGTTTTTGTAGATGTATTTTTTCTTAAATGAATGTTGTTGCTAAAATACAGCAGTGAGATAATTCTGAATAGTGCAATTTGTGTTTACTCAAATGACCCTCACTAGGTTTTTTTGAACAGACGTGGCAAGATATAAATTGGTATGCTTTGTCTCCTGCATTTGTCCATTTTTATCAACAGTGTTGAAGTCGAAGGGAAACGTAATCTGAAGTTGGCTTGGCAGAAGTTAGCATCATGCATGAACTCTGAAGATTTGAAGAAAATCAGCGCATTAAAAATGTACAACTCTTTATTAACACCAGAATGTGTTGTAATTGTGGCCCTATGCAATAAGTTATAAAAATAAAGATTTAATGTACCAGATTGGACTTTTATTGATGGAAACTTTGTTGGTAGGATGGATAGATGGAAACATTTTAAAAAGCAGAATAATTTCAGTAATAATTGAGGCCAAAGGGTAGGAGTATTACTGTAATGCTATGTATAAAATTCTCTTAACAATGACTTATGAAAGGAATTGTAAATGTTTCAGGCATTCCCTTTGCTAGGACTTGTTTATGCCTGTAAAGGAATTGCGTTACCAAAAAGGTTTCAAGCTCCAATCAGTAATCTTCACAGTTTAACTATACTTGTCCAAACAATGAAAAATATGCAATCAACAGCCATTTTAAAAATGTAGCCAAAGAGTTCCAGGTTTTCAGTCATATCTAACCAACACACAGTTATTGTGAATATAACTATTCTAATGTGTGACATTGTGGGATAATATGTTAAAAAGAAACCTGTCTTGGGCAGGTTCCTTCAGTCAAGCTTATGAGAAGTTCTAAATATAAATGGTGCAGTTTAAAATTCAATTCCAAAACAAAAAAAATATTTTCCCAGTCTAAAAGCAACACAACCATTTCAACTAAAAATTTAAAAACAGCCTCTGAACATGTTTGGTTGTGAATGATCCTCTTCCATTACTACAACATAGCATTCAATAAAGTGTAATGGATTACTTCCAGTGTTCATGAATTAGCTTTGTTAGGTAAATTGGAAGATAGAGTACAAAGACTGAATCATTTAGGATCTGCAGATGACTGTCCTGTAAAGAGTCTTGACAGTTTCATTTAAAAGTGAAGGCAGGCAATTTGATCCCGTGAAATACTTCATAGCTACCATAATTTCCTTTAAGGGAAAGTAACAGAACTGGCATGTCATACATCTCTAGTTCGCTCTAGTGCAGAAAATACTATGAACCAATAGTTAATTCTGCATAAGAGTGCTTACTAAATGCTGACTTAAAAGTTGCGCACAAACTGCCCACAGCCCTTGCCACATACCTACACTACAAAAGGGATTTGTTTATAAGTGGAAGTTGCAGAAGGCTCCAGACTGTCCAGACCTGAATCCAACCTCATGTGGAGATGTGATGATTAGTTGTTCGGACTTCTATGCTTTGCTGTTTGAGGGCTACTTAGCCAGAACATTAACATTCTCTGATGTGTAAAAGTAACGCCTACGCAACTGTCCCTGAATGACACATGCATATATTCGCTCACCTGCAGTGCTGGAGAAGTCTGTTTCAGCCTTAAGAAAACTTTGAACTTCATTTAACATTTTACTGGTTTGCATGTTCAGTTATGGGTAGCATTGAAAAGATACAATCCTGGCTTTTTCAGTTCCAGAAACATTTGAAAATAATTTGCAACTTTCTATAACTTTTGTAATTTTCACATCTGGTAAAACCATTTATACTTTCTGAATTCTTTAAGGTGGAAGTGGGATCAATTAAAATATCTGCTTGCGTGAACACCCAGTTCAGCTTTGTAATATTGGTAATTGTTGGAAGACTGGAGCAAGACACCAGCAATTTTGAAGTACAATTATAGTAATTCTATTTAAGATTATACGTTTCCAGCTAATGGGAGCAGAAAGCCAGCAATTTTCAGCAGGATTGCAAGGAAAAAGGAGGAATAAATACATTTTTCTCTAGTATTTACTATATGTATGTTCTCCATTACCAGAAAGAACTCCGTAATCTTGCCTGGAAAGACCAAACAACATTTATTTTGATCAACTGGCCAGAAAAAAGGTTAGGTATCTTGAAGAAGTATGCAGCTTTGTACCCAAAAGATCACCTTTCTGCATTTAAATGTTATGACAAGTTTTAAAATGAAATCCAGTTGATATTAGTAATGTTATTAGCTCCCGTCTAAATGATAGATAGCTATGTACTGCTGGAATCCTTAAAATCTTTGCCTTAATATGCACAAATGTAGTTTTCCCCCCAATTAACGCTTTTCTAATTTTTCCTAATATTTGACCTCTAGTCTTTAAAATATAAATTTTAAGTATCTTAATTGTATTGGAGCTATAGTTTTATATAACAAACCCATAACCTGTTGGGCCATCCTTTGAGACAAAGGTAGTGTCGTGATGTAACCAGAATTAAACATTAATTTTCCCCAAATCATATTGCTATTGGTTTGGTTTTAACAACCTTGATTCAAAAATTGTTGCAGTATAATGCATTAGGAACGATTTCTGGCTTCCTGCTGGTTTCCCCATTGACTTTGCTTGTGGGAAGCTGGCCAGGAAGACTAGAAACCAAGATCCTGTAACGAGATACTGCAGTGGCCAGAACCTTGTGAATATGCATAGCTATAAAGCTCTAAATCTTGTACATATTCTTTAAGTTAGTAGATTTTAAGTAGAATAAGTTGACCACCGAAGGGACTGAAGGAAAGGGCTCAACGTACAGTGCTTATCAACATACAGACTATACTAATGCGAACATGTGCCTCATTTTACTGTACAAGTTTAGAGAAAGTCATACAGAAACAATGAAAACAGGAAAATCATAAAATACTGTATAATACAAAATCAATATATTTAGGTATGTATTTTTTCATGGATTGTTCATTGTTTCTGAAAAAAGTCAATTTTAGTCCATTGCTTATTCTTTTTATGAAGGTAAGTGGAGAAAGCACTCTCAATGCTGGTTATATCATTCAGAATACCTGGGCATTTTTCCATGGCAAATGACTTTAATTGCCTTATCAAGTGACTGACATCCTCTTTCAGAATATCTGCAATTAGTGTGTCATCCTCACCTAATTCTTCGCTTAATTCATCTACTTCATCAGTTGCTTCCAGCACTTTTCTGCTGATTTGTACCTCAATCCATACCGATTGGAAAATTGCTTCTAGGTCAGGTTCATTGCAGATTGCCATGTCGTCATCCATTGCAACAAACTTCAACATCTACTCCCTTGAATGCCTCCATGGCTGCCTAGTGGGGCTGCAACATCTTGCTCTTGGGTGGTAACAAATCCAGCTTTCTTGAAGTGCTTTTGTAGTTTCAGCCTCAACTTTATGCCAAGCATTTGCTGTGATGACCACTGTAAAGTAAAATGGCTCACATATGTCTGTATATTTGTTTCATTTTAGCATTGGCTATTTTTTAAAATCAAATTCCCAAAAAAGGGGGGGAAAGGTTAAAAAAATGTTTCTGCAATTTATATTATGAAACGAATCTGTAATCATTGTTAAACTGCCAAATCAAAGGCAAAAATACTGTATTATTTGATATCTTTCTTGAAAGAAATTCATTGCTACCAATTCTGCATTTCACTTTTGTTGCCCTTGATGCAGAATGGACTCAACTGGTCAAGTTATAGAGAGTAAAAATACTGTGTGTCAAGGTCAAGGTAGTCAAAATACAACTTAAAAAAGTGATTTCCAGTCTACGGCAACTAGATCAACTTAGGGAGCTCGTCAGCTATGGAGGCTGAACTGTACTTTGATTCAAAACTGTTCTGGTACAATAACCCTTCAGACTGTACAAAGGGGAGATATAGATTATATAGTATCCTGCAAATGTTTCAGTGAGCTGCCTTGCATTTATTTTCACTAAAAAGTCAGAATGAAAGTTACAAAGAAGAGAAAGCTGTTGCAGTTACCTACATAGCTGCATCTTGTTTAAAGGGGTGCAGAAGACCAGCAGCAAAGTGGGTGGACTTTGTTACAGTGGTGATGAGTGCATCTTTGGAAGACCTGAAAGACCAGGGTACGGATAGATAATGGAGAAAACTCTGCATAGTTACCAGAAGTGGAAAACAACTTGATGAGACACAAGCAAATGTTCACAAGAAGCTTTCCTTTTTAACAGTAATTTGCAGATGTTTGTGTTCACATTGTGCTTCATTGCTGCTGTGTTGAAATGCTTAATTTGTAATTTTAATAGATTTGTATGCCACCCAATCCCGAAGGACTCTGATTAACTGATTCAGAATAATATTGTGAATTATAAGAAACCTTCACTTCATTTAGTGACTGTTCAAAGTTACAGCAGCACTGAAAAAGTGACTTACAACTGCTTTTCACACTTACGACTGTTGCAGCACCGCCATGGTCATAAGATCAAAATTCAGATGCTTGGCAAATGGTTCATATTTATGACAGTTGCAGTGTCTTGAGGTCCTGTGATCAGCTTTTGCAACCTTCTGGCAAGTAAAGTTAAGTGTGGAATCCGGATTCATTTAACAAGTATGTTACTACCTTAAATGAAATGATTCACTTAACAATTGTGGCAAGAAAATGGGGTAAACCCCTTTAAATATCTATGGAGATTCTCAGTCATCCAAGGCATGGTTGTCCCAAAGGTGCTTTTTCAAGAGGCAACTGGACTTTCTGGTTTTTCCTTGAAGATGTTTCACTTCTCATCCAAAGAAGCTTCTTCAGCTTTGACTGGATGGTGGACCACCACCATCCTTCCATTCTCAACCATCCAGTCAGAGCTGAAAAAGCTTCTTTGGATGAGAAGTGAAACATCTTCAAGGAAAAAGCAGAAAATCCAGTTGCCTCTTGAAAAAAGCACCTTTGGGAAAACCCATTTAACAAATGTTTCACTTACAACATAAATTTTGGGCTCAACTGTGGTCATAATTTGAGGACTATCTGTACCTGAATGGGGATCATACCCTGGTGCCACGGAGACTGCTGTAATGATCTAAATCAGTGTTTCCCAACCTTGGTGACTTTAAGTCCTGTGGACTTCAACTCCCAGAATTCCCCAACCAGCTACGCTGGCCGGGGGATTCGGGGAGTTGAAGTCCACAGTACTTAAAGTCACCAAGGTTGGGAAACACTGATCTAAATGATGCGATGTTTCCCTAACTACGGCGTTGAATTTTTTTCAATATTTATGAGCCACCTATTGGTATCAGTATTTTTATTCACGATCTCAGCAATACACAATCTCGGCCATTCAAAAATTCATCACCCCCTCCCACCGGCAATTGAGTCTGTCACAGAAGCAGCTGGAGAATAAAATTACCATTCACGCGCACCAGGGAGAGCTCAGGATCTCGGGGGGGTGGGTGGGGGGAGAGATCCCGTAACGCTCCCAAGCCACCACCGGCCGCCTGTCAAAAAAAAAAAAGAGGACGAACTTCCTGCTACGCGAGGGATGCATCTAGTCACGCGCGTGCGCTGTCGGGTTGGTCGCCGCCTGCTTCCGAGCTCAGCTCTTTCTTTTTTTCCCCTCCCTCTCCCCCCCCGCCTCCCTCAGCAGCAGGCGGGGCGACAACCCTTGTGGAGCGGCTCGGGAGACCCCGGCGTTGGGGCTGCGCCAGCAGGCGTGCGCGCGCGCGCGCGCGGCGCCGGCGCCGCCTCTTCCTCCTCCTCCTCTTCGCCTCTCCCCTCCCCTCCCTGCCTGAGCCGAGTGGAAGGGGGCTGGGGTTGGCTGGTGCCAGCAGCGGCGTGAGCGCTCGAGCGGCCGCCATTTTACGCAGGCTCCTGCACATTCTCCGGACACGCTGAGGGAGCGGAGAAGGGGCAGCTCCTTCACTGGGCCCCCCCACCACCCCGTCCGGAGCTCTTTCGCTCACCATTCATCACCCCCGCCGCTCGCCCACACAGGTCAGCCGCCGCCGGGGATTGTCAAGCGGAGGGGAGGGAGGGAGTCGGGCATGAAAAAAAGGACAGAGACCCCCCAAAAAAATAACTCCCGGGGAGGAGGAGGAAGAGGAGGCGGGCGCGGGCTGGAAACACCCGCGAGGTGAAAAGGTCCCCCGGGGGTAGCCGGCCCTTCGCCCCCCCCCCAAAAAATAATAAATATATGAAGCGGGGCTTAAAACAAAGAGGACGGTTTGAGCCAGCGGCCTGTCCGAGAACAGCGAGTGCCGCTGCCGCCGCCGCATGCCAGGCATTCTTGACTCCCGGCGGCGGGCTACGCTAGGCCGAAAGCATGGCGTGGAAGCGGCACCTCATCCGCGTGCTCGCCTGCCTCTGCCCGTCCTCGGAATAGGCTCCAAGCGCCTCATTGTCCGGGCGCCATTCATTGGCCACGAGGCGCCGGTGGGGTGGGGTGGGGAAGGAAGGAGCAGAGCAGGGACTCCCGGCGGCGGCCGCCGATGTGGCGGTAGGGTTAAAGGGGTGGGGGGGGGGAGAGCTACCGCCCGCCTGCCTCGGATTTACGTAAAAAGCGGATGGGCCCGGCGGAGAAGCTCTCCAGGGAAACCGAACTCCCCTCGCACAGGAGTTGGTGGGAAACGCATGGCGGGGCGGTGGTGGTGGCGGCGGCGGCGGCGGCAGAGGAGCTGTGATTTGTATGCATTGTTCCGGGATGGGAGGAGGGAAGAGCCGGACAGATGTCGAGCGCTTCATTTTCTCCTCTTTACCTTCCTCTCGCTTTCCCCTTCCCACAACCACCCACAATCCCGCGTGGCGAAATAGGGCTCAGGGTGTTGCAATTCTTCTCCCGGAGGGGAGAAAAAAAGGGGGGGTGAGAGGGGAAAGGCTGCTTTTCCGGGCGGGGGGGGGGAGAAGGAGGGAGGGAGGGAAGTCGGTCGCTGGAGGAAGTTGTAAGACACATTTGAACGCGCCGAGCACGTGTTTCTCTCAGACTTATGGCGGCAGCCACCGCCGCCTCCTCGATTGGGCGCGGATTAAGAGAGCGCTTTGTTCCTTTTGGCCTGGCGGCTTAGGCCCTGTCAGAGAGGCGGGAAGGCGACACGCTTTGAATGTAGTCGAGGAACGGCGGGTCTAGCGTAGAGGTTAAGTACACAGGGCGGCTAGGGCGAAAAGAGCTAGTCTGTGGATGGCTTACACGGCGGTGGCGTCTGCCCGTTTCTTCTCCCCCCACCCCTCCGTTTGCTGCTTGTTGCGAGTTAGAAGAGCTGCTTTGGAGCTTTCTAGGGCGTGCTTCAGAGAGACGTGAGTCAGAGAGTTTGGCAGTGGTTTCAGGATATTGCTTTGCGCTATTAGTTCTTTGCTTTTGGAAAAAAATAAAATTAAAAAGGTTGTTAAGCTTTCTGATTTCGAAAAACGGTAGGGAAAGCGGGTTAAAACACTGCGAGCACCTTGGAAGGCAGCTGCATATATTGACACCCGAATTGTTTGGCTTGTAAGGTCTCTAGCTTAATTATGCTTATTGCGTTTGAACAGATATCTGGAAACATGGCTTCTGAACATGTTAATGGGAATGGTACTGAAGAGCCCATGGATACTTCTGCTGCAGTTGCCCATTCTGAGCATTTCCAGACATTGCTTGATGCTGGTTTACCACAGAAAGTTGCTGAAAAACTAGATGAAATTTACGTTGCAGGTAAGATGTAAAACTTGCAAATTCACTATTTTCTATTGGACTTTCCTTGCTTTGGGCTAAAATAGCAACTTTTTGTGGTTTCCAAACAAAAAAGTATGGGGACTGCAGTTCTCTTAATTTTTTGGGTGATCAATATTAATATGCAATGTTTCTATTAGTTTAGAGTAGCTTTTGGCATTGAATGAAGGGGTGGTGGTAAGGGCAAGCAGTTGGAATGTAAACCTTTAGGAATAGTTCATACTGGATCATGGTTGTGTGTCTGGAGGACTGTGTAGTGAAGTAGTAATTGCATATGTCTCTTTTTTCTGATTCACTGCTTGGATTCCTGGGTGTAGTGGCTACAGTGTTTTCAGTTATGTCCTGAAGCATAGTTTTGAAGTGCAGTAGAATGGCTGAGAGTTTTCATCAAAGTTACTTTTAGGAACAAAAAAGTATTGTGTAAATACTCAGATGCAATAAGAATTTCTTAAGTGTTCAAGTTCTAGAGGGAATAAAATAGAATGTTTTTGGCATTTTAGTATGTGAAAAATTCCTAACATTGCAATTAATAACAACTAGTAATTAATTTGAGAAGATGCATTTCTGAATACCATAATAGTTAAGTGAGATATCCTAGAATAAAATATTTCTTTTTCTAGGACTAGTTGCTCACAGTGATTTAGATGAAAGAGCTATTGAAGCTTTAAAGGAATTTAATGAAGAAGGTGCACTGGCAGTGCTTCAACAATTTAAAGACAGTGATCTCTCTCATGTTCAGGTAATGTACTATGGCAGTATTTCTGTTTAATTTCTTTCAGCATATATACTGAAACTGCTTGATCTTCGACTGATCCATTATGAAATTTAATTCATATTTTTTTCAATCCATCTGTCTCATTTTTTTTCAGAACAAAAGTGCCTTTTTATGTGGCGTCATGAAAACATATAGACAACGAGAAAAACAAGGGACCAAAGTGGCAGATTCCAGCAAAGGACCAGATGAGGCAAAAATCAAGGTATGTTTGTAAGAAACTTTTTCTTAAACCCATGGTGCTTTAATAGTATGAATACAGCCACAGAGTATTTTCCCCCTCTGAAGATCAATGTCATTCAAAACAATATTTTCTGCAATGCTGATTATCAGCTCAGCTTTTATACTTGAGATATTTTTTAGTAGCTGTCTCTTGTGGATATTATGTAATCTTCCATATAAATCTAGTTTTTGTTTCATACCTGTTAAGGGAGATGCCATTGATAATATACTTCAGGAACCTAAAATAAGTTAATTGACACTAGGACAGTATAATCGGCATTCTATACTGATGTTTTTACACTTTGGCACTATGATTTGAAGGATTGATTTATATCTTGCTTTTGGAGGATATATGTGAATAACTTATAAAAGACTTCATGAAGTTATAGTGCACTTCATTAGCAGTGTAACCTGAGATTTGATGTAAAAACCAACAGTTCTAATTACTTTTAACATAACCTGATAGTACAAGTAGTCCACTACTACTAAGTTTTCAGTGGTTAAAGAACAGGATGTACCTCACTGATCTTGAATCCCTTTAATATATCTCTCAAGTGTTTCAGCTGTTTCTACCAGGAAAAATTACAAAAAATATTCTTATTGTCATGAATAAATCCAGAGTAATGTTCAATGAAATGATTTAATAATTTGAACATAACATTTACACATAGCAAGCATCCATTCTTATGACTTTTTAATTTTTGTTTTTATTCTTATTTTGGTTCCATTTTTTCCTTCCTAATTGCTGAATTACTAAGTTAAACTGTTGAGTGAAATTGAAATGTATGTGCTTGCAGGTATGAAATCTTGAATAGTGTCTAAGGCACGGGTGTTAAACGTGCTGCATCACGTTGCCGTCACGTGACATTTCATGACATTTTTTCCCTTCGCGGCGCTAGGGTGGGTGTGGTTTGTGTGTGATACATTCTGCCTATGGGCCACCAGCTTGATACCCCTGAAGAAATGCATGCATCTATCTATCATTTATCTTATCTATCCCTTCAAGGGAAAGTGAAAATGGTGTTTCATAACAAGTTGCAGCAATTTCTCTTGCACTACCTATTACTTCAGTTGTGCCAGAAACTCACGTCTTAACCTCATTTCTCTGAAAGAAGGATTCTGCACCCTTCATCTTTTGATCCATAAATTAAATCTCCCAGATTTTTCTAATTGAAGAAGGGTACTGTAAGATGATGCATATGGATGTCTCGTAGTGTAGTTCTGCAGAAAATGACATCTGCAATAATTATTATTTGTTTAGATGTTATATCATTGCTTCACAATCCAAGTTCTCAGATGTTTTCCAAGCAATTGAGAAAATTTGTGTAACAGATTTGACATTAGAAAGATGAGAAATGTTTACCTTTGGCATTACATTGGTTCTTACCCAAGTGGTTTGTTCATGTTCATATTAGATTTGCTAGATAGATTCACTTGACATATCAGTTGCATGATCCAATAGGAAAATTAGGTTTAAGGCAGACTTTTAACATAGGTTGGAGAAACTACAGAATAAATAGCTCTGTATTAATGAAATATTTTATTAGTATTCATTGATTGTACTTGGTTTATAACTCTCTTTGAAGGCTCTTTTAGAGAGAACGGGTTATACACTTGATGTGACAACTGGACAAAGGAAGTATGGTGGTCCTCCACCAGAGTGTGTCTATTCAGGACAACAGCCTTCTGTTGGCACTGAGGTAAGAGATGCAACATATCTGGAGAATTTAATACGTTTCTCTGTTTAAATCTCAGTTCTTTAAAAAATGTTTGATTTGTTGTTACAGATATTTGTGGGTAAAATCCCAAGGGATTTATTTGAGGATGAACTAGTTCCATTATTTGAAAAAGCTGGACCTATTTGGGATCTCCGCTTAATGATGGATCCCCTGACAGGTCTAAACAGGGGATATGCTTTTGTCACTTTTTGTAACAAAGAGGCAGCTCAGGAAGCTGTTAAATTGGTAAGTTTTTCATATTTTCTGTGATAATTTAAAATCAACTATTGTGATTCCTAATTGTGTAAAATGTCTAATCTTCTGCTTATGTTGTAATGTATAGAATGGAATTGCTTTTTAAACTTAATGGCTTTCATAAATCTGTGTATTGTTACGGAACATATTAAAACTTAAGACTTCTGTCAATTTTATTTGTAATGCTCAGCATATGGTATTTTTGCCATACAGCTATTTAAAGGCCAGGAATGATAGTTTATTTTTAAAGAGCGGAATATTTATCCCACTCTAGCTTTCAATAATAAATGCATCTTAATACCTGCAAGTCCTGAAACAAATTCAGTTGGGCTTATTTTAGTAAATGTGTTACATTTCTATACAACTGGTATAGAAACTACAGGAATATGTTAAAATTATTTGGGTATTAGGTAAAACGGACTGGTATTTTTCTCTAGTGCTATGACTGACCATTAGTAAATTTAAGCACACCCCAATTTTCCAACAGAATAGAGAAAACATTGGTAAACTTGTTACAGGTCCTACTAAGTGTAACCTTTCCTTCTTGCATAACTTTAAATAGTGCTGCTGTTCTCAATAAGGATGGAGATAGCATCCATGAATGGGTTAACAAGGTCCGTGCTCTGATTGGACTGAGTCTGATAATTAATTAATTATCTGCCTATATAACCCACCTTGTGAGTGTCCCCACCCAACTTCCCGACTCAGTCCACTCGACAGTCGTGTTATCCACTCCTTACTTCATCCATGCTGAATCCTTTTACCATCTACTGAAATTCAACTACTGTGAGTTCTGGAGACTGCCTTGCCTATTGGTAATCTGAGCTTACCTGTCACTGGCCGCTGGGCATTGCCCCACAGGCCGGGCCTCTGCTTCTGTAAGGACAATCTTCCTACCTTGGGGGGGGGGGTATATGCAATAACTGAGGCACTGCAAGGTTGACCGAGAACAAGCCGATTGCACCGCCTGTCAGTTTGGCGAAGTGACTCTCTTGGTACGCCTGGTACAGTTCCTAGCACAGGCGCCGGCTTGACCAATCCCTTCTCAGCGCGGAGCTTTGCGATGAGCGCCAGAACCGCACAGGAGGCTTGGATGACGGCAGAAGGTCATTTTCACTGAAGGCCGCGATATTGAGAAGCCTGAGGCAGTTAAAAAACACTAATAGAGGCGCGGCCACCATTTTGAAGTGGGCGGAGCTGCATTGGCGGGCGCCATTTTGACTCTCAATTCCAGCAGCCGAGAGAATGGCAGACAGCAGCATTACAGAGACTCCTGCTGCGGCCCACAGAAACATGGCAGAACCCTACCAGGGACTACTTTTGGCAGGTTAGGCATCTTGCCCGCCTGTAGAGACTCCTTCGCAGGTCATCTCAGGGGGAAAGGCCAAGGATAAGGCCGCCGCCTCTTCACACAAAGGTTTCATGTCTAAGAAAGACTCAAAAATTGGAGACAAAAATAAACACAAAGGTACAAGGGCATCTGCCGAGGCACCCTGAGAAAGGGGAGGCTACATCCTCCCGGACCACCCAGCTGCCACAATTACAGCTGAACATTACCCAGGGGCCTTTCAGCCCAATGCTTCTCATCAACACCTCTGGCCTTTGAGGGGATGTGGCCCCGCGACCACTGAGTAGGGCCCCTGAGGCCACCTTCACCCGAACAGCGGCTGGGCTTCGGCAAGATGGACATTTAACAACCTTTAAAGGAGACTTTGCCTCCAATGGTCACGGTGCCACCCTCATTGGGTATTCAAGATTTTTTGGCAGGGGATTGCGGCCGGGCTCCAACAGAAGGCCCAGCCTCCACTGGCCACTACGGCCCGTACTGCCCCCATATTTCGCAGGAAGGGGTTGACCACCTCTCCAGTGGAACCACAGCGTAGCCCATCACCAGCATCTGAGGAAGGGGAAATCAGGGACACTGACCTCTCAGAGGAGGAAGGGGCAACCCCAGATAAGCCTATCTGCACCGGCCTATTCCCGTTCAAGCTGCTACTGAGCAAGGCCAAGGCTGCTTCTGCCTTGGAAACTCCGACAGAGGTCTCCATGACCCCACCACAGCCGGCCACATTTAAGGAGCACAAGTTGGAAGCCGGTGTCATACCGGCTCCTCAACTATTCATGTACGCAGTACAGAGACAGTAGTTGTCCCCAACATCCGGACCCAGTCCCTCTGCGAATGATAAGCAATTCTACAATGTCACTGAACAGCTAGATAAGACTCTTCTATGGCCGACGGTTGATACCCCTATCGCAGCCCTACACACCGCCATAGCCATGCTAGGATCCCAGGAAGACATTCTTAAGCCCGAGGATCAACTGGCTGACCAGGTTCTGCAACGGGGTCATCAGGCAGCCACATGGGTGGTGTGAGCAGCTTCAGTGGCCTCATTCTTCTCAAGATCTAGCCTTTTTTGACTTCAACAGTTGCAAGAGCATATTCCCGCAGGGGACTCTAGGACCCACCAGGACATTGCTGTGGTGCAATTTACATCGGACGCTACCCTGAGTGCCACCAGATTCTCCTCCAAGGCCATGACCTCTGTAGTGGCTACCCACAGACTCTTATGGCTACGACAGTGGCAAAGTGATGGGAAACATAAATGGAAGCTGGCCTCGGAGCCTTACAAAGGAGGGCCCTTTTTGGGGGTGCGTTTACTCCGCTGCTTGTCGAGGGCAAAGACAAGTGTAAGGTACTTCCCTCATACCCAAAGAAGGGTTTTCCTTGCCCGGCCCCTTACCCTAGGAGGCAGCCCTTCCAGGCCCAGGAGTATGGGGGATCATTTAGGTACCAGATTATTCCCCCTTGGGCTTCTGCCCCCAAACGGGTTACGGCCAGTGGTCAAGGAAGCAGCCGTACTGGCAACGAGGGGCAATCAGTCTCGACAGCCCTTTTGGGGACGCGGTAACCGCAACTACTACAAACCCTAATCTGGCTCAGAATGGGCCTCCTATTGACGGAAGATTACAATTTTTTGCTGATCAGTGGGAAGCCAAAACATCAGATTCCTGGGTCAGGGATACTATCAGATTCGGTCTGGCTTTGGAATTCATCTCTACCCCTCCCAAGTTGTGTCCAGGTTCTGGTAACCCCCAGAAGCGCCTCTTGATGGGTCTGGCCATCCAACAGATATTAAAGCCATTGAGGTTCCAGCCATGCAGGTCAGGCAAGGGTTTTACTCAATCTTGTTTGTCATTCCCAAGGCCTTGGGAGCTGGAGGGCCATTTTGAATTTAAAAAGGTTAAACTGTTACGTCCGTTATAGATGTTTTAAGATACAATCATTAAGTACAATTCTGGGGGGTGTTCGAGACGGGAATATGCTTGCTTCTATTGATCTCATGGAAGCCTACCTGCATGTTCCCATTTTGCAGGAGCACCGTCAGTTTCTACGTTTTTATGATTCTTAATACTATCAATACACAGCTTTGCCTTTTGGGCTTTCTTATGCGCCCCATGTGTTTACTAATGTTTTGGCAGCTGGCTGCATACTTACGCACCATACCCATCAGGGTTCAACTTTACCTAGATGACATATTGGTTCAGTCAAGCTCCTGGAAAGCAGCTTCAGCTGATCTCGCCATGGCATTACATGTGTTTCGGGCTCATTGGTTTTCCATTAATGAAGGCAAAAGCCATTTCACACCTACCATCAGAATCCTTCACCTAGGGGCCTGGATAGATTCGATGGGCGGCCAGGTCTTCCTTTCTGAGGATCACATACGTAGTCTGCGGTCACTCGTGGCCAAAGTGAGGGGGTCCCGAAGGGTGGCCCTTGCCACATTATCCAAGCTACTGGGAAAAATGGGGTCTGCCATCTATATTGTTCCCTGGGCTTGTCTTCACACGAGGGAATTACAGTGGTTCTTACTCCCTTTTCAAAAGAAGAGGACCAGTACGTCACTCATCAAGGTGTCACTACCCAGGGATCTGGTCACTTCCCTCCATTGGTGGGAATCGGCCATAGAGAAGGATTGCCATTTCAGAGTTCTCCACAGGGTCACTATCACCACAGACACCAGTTTTTATGGCTGGGGTGCGAACATGGGGCCTCACATGGCACAGGGTCAATGGTGCCAGGAGGAGGCAGAGATGAGCATAAACTGGTTAGAATTGCAGGATTAGATTGGCTCTATTGAGTTTCCAACACTTCATTGAGAGTCAGCATGTGCTAATCCTCACAGATAACACAACATCCAAGACCCATGTTAATAGACAAGGGGGCGCTAGATTTAGGGATCTAATGCTAGACGCTAACACATTGGGCTCTTGGGCGAAATGTCATCTGCTTTCCATCAGAGCAGAACACATCTCGGGGGAGGCGAATGTGCGAGCTGACTGGCTCAGCAGGTCTCGACTTGACCAGGCAGAATGGCAATTACACCCTTCTCTCTTTCAGGAGATTACACACCGGTTCGGGGACCTGATGGTAGACCTGTTTGCCTCCCAGCACAACACCCAACTCCCCAGATTCTTTTCGAGGTTCCAAGCACCTGAAGCGGAGGGCATGGATGCACTCCGCTGCACCTGGCCCAGGGGTATTTTGTATGCCTTTCCCTCTGTGCCTCTACTACCCAGGGTGATCCGCAAGATTATCAGTGTAGGAGCAGAGCTCCTACTTCTGGCACCCTACTGGCCACGGCAGCTATGGTTCACCGACCTTCAGACACTATCGGCAGAGAGACCTTGGAGGATTCCAGCAGACAAAGTCGTGCTTCGCCAGGGGTCACTAGAACACCTGGAGCAGCAATGGCTTCAGCTGACCGCCTAACGATTGAGCGGCAAGCTTTCCAGAGGGGTGAATTCTCTCCTAGAGTCATAGGTACCATCCAGGCATTTAGGAGACTGTCGACTGTGTGCATTTACAATGCCACCTGGAAGACATTGCGTTTGGTGTGACTCCAAACACATCATTCCAGTTGAATCTTCCATCTCTCAGGCCCTGGAGTTTCTCCAGGATGGTCTTGAAAAAGGGTGTCCCCTAAGGGTTGTCAGGAGACAGGTGGTGGCTCTTAGCATGGTACTGGAGGAAGGGACAACCTCTTTCACATCACCCTATGGTATGGAGGTTCCTGAAAGGGGCTTCCAGTCTGCGACCTCCGACAGTACATCGTTACTTTTCCTAAGACCTCACAAAGGTATTGGAGGCACTTAACCGGGCCTCCCTTTGAACCTCTACGGGAGGTTCCCATGCAAATACTTACCTGGAAGGTCACATTCCTGGTAGCAATAACATCCACTAGGAGAATATCGGAATTACACGTCTTTTCGGTAAGAGAGGACTTATGTAGGTTGTATCCTGACCCGATGGTGCTGAGGCTAGACTCCTCGTTTATGCCAAAGGTGGGGTCCTGGTTTCATAGGGCCCAGGAAGTCATCCTTCCCAATTTCTGCCCCTCCCTGTTTCATCACTTAGAACAACAGTGGCACACATTGGCTGTGCCCTGGGCACTCGAGATTTACATTCAGCGCACGGCTAGCCTACAGGGATCAGAAGCACAGTTTGTCTCCTTCCTAGAGCCATCATTGGGCCAAAAGGTGTCGGTGACTACCATAGGACGAGGAGTCGTGCCGGAAGGTGTCTACTAGAAGTGCGGCTACCACCATGGTGAGGGCCACTCAGGCGTCTTTGGACGAAATATGTAGGACCATGGTGTGGGCGTCCCCTTCACCATTCATTAAAAATTATAAATTAGACAAGTTCACATCAGCAGATGCCGCATTCGGGCACAGGGTTTTACAGGCTGTAGCCCACTCTTGAATGGGCTGTGATGGGTATGTCCCATTCATGGATGCTATCTCCATCCTTATGAGAAAGGGCATTGGTACTTACCTGATACGCCTCTTCTAATAAGGTGGAGATAGCATCTGGCCCATCCATGTAGGAGGACTGTTCCTTTCGGTATTGTGGTCAAAATATTATTCTGATCGTTGGTTGGAAGAATTTGAATTTTTCTCGTTAGTGTATTGAATTTGAGTACCAGTAAATTATGGTTAGATAACACGTTGAGTCTGTGATTATTTACTTCTCCGGAAATCCGGATAGGGACACTCACAAGGCGGGTTATAGAGGCAGGTAATTAATTAATAATCAGACTCAGTCCAATCAGAGCACAGACCGTGTTAACCTATTCATGAATGCTATCTCCATCTTATTAGAAGAGGTGTATCAGGTAAGTACCAACACCCTTTTTCTATATCTTATGCAAACTTGCCTAAAATCCTATTAGTGTTTGACTATGGTTAGGTGTGAAATATGATTTATTCTCTATGGTAAAAAAAAAAACATTGACTTTGGTGGAATTTTCTGGGAAGTGATAGAATTCTATAGAAACTAGGGCGCTACAGATTTGAGTGGTTGGCACATTATTTGGTGTTATATTGGAAGCATGGAATATGACTTTTTGAAAAAGATACTTCTGCTTTATTCAGGGGATTTGTTAGTTCCAACAACAGAAAATAAGTATTTTGATCAGAGAAAGATCAACACATTTATTTGAAACCCTTTATAGATCATGAGATTGCAATTAAAAAGGGTAGCTTATGAAAAGAAGGAAATTAGGATGTAACTTTGGAGAGAAGGGGCAAATTATAAATGTATCTAAATTACTGTCAGGAAAATTGGGGGCCATTTTATATCTTTTCTACTTTTTCTCTACTGCTTTTTTATTTTTATTTTCTTTTATAATTTTTACTTTGTTAAAAAACATTCAATAATCTATTAAAAAAACAAAGTATCCAGTAAAAGTTATTGGAGTGGTATGTGGTGTATGCAGTGGTTCACATGGTTAGGATGCTGGGTTGGAGTCCACATTTTAAACCCTAATGCTACTGTTTGACAGGCTGAGCTCGGGGCATTTGCTCTAGTTCCTTCCTTAACAGGGACCATGCAGTTTTCTTTACATCAGTATGGAAGTGATTTGTTACTGTTGTCTTCTGGGGTGTTTTCCTATCGTGGGATTTTTCTAGTTGTTTTCCATCTAAGCAGTAACCAGCAACCAGCCCTTGCCTCTAAAGCATCCATCCATCCATTCATCCAAGGCAGAGAACATACCTAATAGTCCTACTTCTTATTTTTCTTCACAACAGGAGCCCTATCATATAGATTGGCTGAGAGAGATTGGCCCAAAGTTGCCCATCTAGCTTTTATGGCTGAGTGAGGCCTAGAACTCAGTTTTTGGTTTCTAGGCAAGAACTTAACTATACCATACTGGCTTTTTTTCATTCATTCTTGTTAATTAACTCAGAAGAATACCTCTATTTTATTTTAGATATAATGTAGCTTAAATAGGTAGGAACCCTGCTGCAACATAACCTACAGAGATGGGTTGCTCCCGGTTTGGCCTGGATCGGGGGAACCGGTAGTAGCCATGGCAGGAGGCTTCTCCTACCCGCCCGGGCATTGCACGTCTGCGCCCGAACCAGTAAAAAAATTCGCAACCCACCACTGATAAGTTAATGTTTGGTTCTGTTATTGCTAAGTGTCAAACTTATTGGAAGTCAGGAGGGGCAGGTTAACTGTTCAGATCCAACTTGTTCCAGCAGATGTTTGGCAGCTATTAGATTGTATCAGATTGTCCATGTTCTAAGGTCAAGTTTGCCCTACATTTTTTCCATGTATCTTGCTTGTTAGAAATTAATTTTGGAAACTTTTTGTTTGACCTGAATTAGTATTAGATTGCACATACAGTTTGTAGCCTGGAATTTATTCTGTGCTAGAGTTATTAGTCTTTACAGTTCCTTAAAATTCTTTGTCGTTAGTGTTCTTAGTACCTTCATTCTTAAATGTAGTAAAGGGTCCTCTGATGGCCTTTACAATTGAGAACAAATTTTCATGTAAGAGAAAGAGTTGGACAACATTCAAGACACTTAAGCATATGAGCCAAACTCATCAAGTATAATTGGATGCAAGAGTAAGCCTGTAAGAGTAATTTGTTATATAACTTTCTTTCTTTTAGTATAACAATCATGAAATTCGTTCTGGGAAACACATTGGAGTATGTATCTCTGTGGCCAATAATAGGCTCTTTGTTGGCTCTATCCCTAAGAGTAAAACCAAGGAGCAAATTGTAGAAGAATTTAGCAAAGTAACAGGTATGTTGCTAGGTGCTAATAATGTAATTGTTATTAAAGTGATCTGTGATGAACTTTATCACCATCTTTCGGCTGATGTTGGATGATGATGACATTTATAAACTGAGATCATAAGGGATAAAGTTGAGAGAAAGATATGGGAATTGTTTAAGAAACTGAAGTTTGAAAGACCATTCCAAATTTATTTCAGCATTTGCATTGCATGCTCTGGCAATGGAGTTTTGGAACAGCCACCATTTTAGAGGGGACATTTTGTTCTTGTCATATAAGCTGTAAAGCATTTAGAACATGGGTGTCCAACCTTTTGGCTTGCCTGGGTAAGCCATTGAGTAAAGAGGAAATGTCTTGATCTGCATATAAAATGTGTAACATAGTTAATGTATATAAATCACATAATGTTGAAAATCTTATGGAACTGCATGCAGCCTATGGGCTGTGGTTTGGATATACCTGATAGAAAATGAAATTTTCATAACATCACAGTAACTTATTTTCGGTGGTCCACCTTGGCATAGTGTGACATAAATACCATATTTATTGATTGAACTGTTTCACTGGGCTCCATGTCCAAACCCATGTAAGTGCTTTGTGCATCAACTCTAATCTTTTGTCCTTTGAAATTGGAATTGTTTCGATTTGTTGAACAATAGTTTATATTGGTATTTAAATTTCTTTATTTTATTTCTTTATTTCATTTTTTATTTTTAGTAAATGTTATACTAATGATTCAGTTAAATGTATATGACTGGCTTCAATTTCAGAGGGTCTCACAGATGTAATATTGTATCACCAACCTGATGACAAAAAAAAGAACAGAGGCTTTTGTTTCCTTGAATATGAAGATCACAAAACAGCAGCTCAAGCCAGGCGTAGGTTAATGAGTGGAAAAGTGAAAGTTTGGGGTAATGTTGTTACAGTTGAATGGGCTGACCCCATAGAAGATCCAGATCCTGAAGTGATGGCAAAGGTAAACGTTTACGAAAGCAGTGAAAATAGCATGCATTTGTTTCTGCTCTTTTGCAAACATTGTGACTGTTGATGTACATCATAAGAACATAGAGTCTGTTCTGTAAAATAGTGTATTTAACATTTACTGTCCCTGCTCTGAATTGAGATGTTTTATACAAAATAATTCATACAAATTATATGATCTGTTTTCATAGACGTTTTCAGTAGCTATTGGTTACTCCTGTGATGCTGTTTCATATTTTAGTTTTGATATTTAACAACATGTCATAAAAACATTTTCATTCTTGGAATATGAAATATTCCCTAGGCCCTTTTGTTATTCAATCTCATAGCACCTTGATTCATTGATAAAAGTGTTTTCTAGGTTTTTTAATTTTTCCTATAGGGGTTAGAATGTGACTCTGCCAAAAGGTGTGAGCACATTTTCCTTGTCAACCTTCCGTCATTCCTGTTTTTGCTATGGCAGTGAAGTCTCTTATAGCATAGGATTCAGTATTGTCATTTTATTTTCTTAAATTTCTGTTGTTTTTTTTAAATCTTACATTCCCAATGTGTACTGTTTTCTTTGATTGCCTCCCTTGATTTTTCTGAGCAAAGGTTACAGCACGCTTTTCAGTGAACACAAACTACAGGGATTCCTCAAAGGCTCCAACTCAGCATTAGCAATGATGAGTTTTTCCAGGAAACATAGTTAATTATAATATAGTTGAATCCTGGGCTCACCTTTTATTTATAGAAAGGCTCCTCTTCATTAATAGTGTTTGACTCAGTGGAAATATTTGTTATCCTCTTGGATGTGTTATTTCCTTCTAAAGCTTCTGTACCACCTCCAGGATTGTCTTTAAAAGTCCTCTGACTGTGGGATGACTTTTAGAAGGAGCAAATACTCCTCCTTGCTCCTTATAGAGTCAATGTTTATAACCAAATTGTTGAAACTAACTGTTGATAGATTTGGGATAAAAAAGGAATTTTGTGTATTAAGAGTTCACTACTTAGACATTGTACCTTGACATTTACTTCAATCCTGAGTGGAGATTAGTTATTATTGAGCGAATGTCCTGTTTGTTTGCTTGGGCATGCATCAAACTAGACTGATCAGCTGAATAGTCATAACTGGCACAGATTCAGAGTGTGACTTAAACTTCTGGTCTCAGTGAGAAACTATTATTTTGTTTAGCCTTAATATCATTTATCTACATGATGTTGCACTAAATTCTACACCTGTAACTGGTGGGGCTTTTGTTAATTATTAATGTTAAGTTCCACTTTTATTTCAGAATTACAGGAACAAGTAATGATCAATTCGGGACTTTCTACTAAAGCAAATAATATCTTCACATCTCTGTTTTAGCAGTTAAACCTTAGCTCTATAAATAAATTGATAATATAAAAATTTATTACATTTGCATGCTGCCCAACTCCTTTTGCTGAGTAGGTCATAAACTGAACAAAGAAATTACAATAAAACCAATTTAAATCCACGAGTCATTGCCGACTATAACAGTAGGGGGCAGTTTTCATCTCCGTTTCAAGGCCATTGACCCAGTGCTGTTTGAAGACATTTCCACACCAAGTGGCCAGCATGACATCACAAAGCACTGTTACCTTTCCACCAAAGTAGTGCCCATTTATCTATTTGCATGGTTTCAAACTGCTAGGTGACAGGCACTCATTCTGTGGCATGGCGCCTAGGTCTCGAACCTTTGCTGCTGGCTTTCCAGCCGACAAGCCCAATGTCTTAACTGCTGAGCCACTATGCCCCTCCCCCCCAAAAAACAGGAAAGGGAGGAAGAATGTTTCCCTTGTCAAAGTCCTAAGTAAAAAACATATTATTGAAAACTAATATCACTTGGGAGGGGAGGTGCTGCTACAGAGAACTAGGTATGAGTACCATTTGTTCAGCATTATCATAACTTTGAACAGAAAACTATGTGTACTATTAGTGACCATCAGAAATCCTGCAAGTTATTTCATCCATGCCATCTAGGGCTTTAAAGGTGATAGCAAGTAGCTTGAATTGTATGCGCTGAAGCCATTACAGCTGACGCAGCAATGGTGTTATATAGGAATATTGCAGGGTGCCCAAAACTACGGCCAATTGAAGCTTCTGAATGCTCTTCAAGGATAGCCTTCAGAGTGCATTGCAGTAGTCCAGCTAAGAAAATTATTTGTAAATTAAGAGGCTTTTTGGTTTGTGTCCAGTTATGACTTACTGACAATTATTTAAAAAAAAAACCTAAATAAGTATATATAATACGTATGCTTGTTTTATTTGCAATAATATACCGGTCATACTAAGCTAACACAATGCTTTGTTTTAGGTAAAAGTGTTATTTGTACGGAATCTTGCAAATTCAGTCACAGAAGAAATACTAGAAAAGGCTTTTAGTCAATTTGGAAAACTGGAAAGGGTGAAAAAGCTAAAAGATTATGCTTTTATTCATTTTGATGAACGTGATGGTGCTGTAAAGGTATGTTTTTATTCCCAGTTTCATTTATTTAGTAGATTTAGATTTAATTCAAAGTGGCATACGATTCCTGATTTTCCCACTATAACTATGTCAGTGGGTTTGGCCTGAGAAGGCATGACTATCGCATAGTTCCCCACCTACCTTTCACGTGTAAGGCAGAACTCGCGTTTGTGGTCTCCTGGTAGTTAGTCTTAACATCTTAACTACTACATAAAATTAGCTCTCAGGTATTTATCACATTGATACTCTGCTGCAATCATGAACAGACTTAGTGGCAATTGCTTCAGAAATCTTTCATAAACTTAAAATTTATGCTACAATTTTATGTTGTCAGGTTTTGGGTTCTCTCTTACTAACAAAAAAAGGAAGGTTTACCGTATTTTTCGGAGTATAAGACACCTTTTTACCTCAAAAAAGAGGATGAAAATCTGGGCGCATCTTATACTGAATGCAGCATTTTTTGCCTCCCGAAAACCCGCCCCTTCACCAAAATGGCCGTGTATAGCCTTTTTTGACAGAAAACGGGCCCGTTTTCGTAAAAAACAGGCCATTGTTTGCTAGTCCCCCCCCCCTCCCAGCACTCTACAAGCCTCCTAAAAGCTATTCATGCCCTTTTTTTGAAAGGAAAAAAAAACAGGCCAGTTTTCGCAAAAAAAAAAAAAAACAGGCTGTGAGAGGTTGGCAGAGTGGAAAAACGTTTTTTAAAAACTTTGCCTCTTCAAAACCTTGGTGTGTCTTATACTCCGGTGCGTCTTACACTCCGAAAAATATGGTAATTATCCTCTCAATAGTGTGCCAATTTAAAGCCATTAGTTTTCATTGTCCTCATGAATAATCTGAATAATTGTTGAGAATGAGCTAACGAGACCAACTGTTGCCAGGACAATAAATAAGTAAACTCAAGTAAATTATACTAAGTAAATCAGTTTGCTTCAGATTTTCTGCTAGTGTCAAATTCTATAAAAAAATGAATTAAAGTATGAAGCGGGTACTATGATCTTTGTTAATACTCATTCCAAAATATACTGAAGTTCTGCTCCTAATGTTCATTCTTGGTTTTCATGGTTGCAGAGAATATTTCTAAATCTTACGCATTGAAAAATAAAGAAATAGACTAACATGGACTTTAGTGAGAGAGGCAATGATCTTGTTTGTTCTACATTGGTATTTTTCCTACTGTATTTATAGTTTGACTGCTATATTTGTAATGTTACTTTGGTAAGAATGATTACAAACTATATTCTTCATAGGCTATGGAAGGAATGAATGGCAAAGATTTAGAAGGAGAAAATATAGAAATTGTGTTTGCAAAGCCACCAGATCAGAAAAGGAAAGAACGGAAAGCACAGAGACAAGCTGCCAAAAATCAAATGTAAGGATGGAAAGCATGATTTTAATGCATTTAGCACTACCTCATACGTAGAATTATTGTGTTAAAGACTAATGTACCTTTTAATGGTTATATTGTAATGGGACAGAAAATATATGCATACTTGAATTCTATGATGATAGTTGTCAGTACATCACCTTTTTAATCCATGTTTTTCCTAGGATATAAGTGTTGGTCTTTTGATCTATTTATAGTACAGAGAGAACTGTTAATAGATGAATACAAATTGATAAGCTAGAATCCCATTCTGTATGAGGATTATCACATTTAGATGTGACTCAATGAAAATTATTTTCCCTTCCCAAAAGAAATAATATAGGAATGGGTGAGCAGTAATTGACATGTTGGTCATGAGAAAAACTTTCTAAATCATAGAAAGCAATATTATTCTTGAGTTAAACTTAACTAAAATATTGAAGAACATTCCTCTTAGCTAGTTGAATAAAACCAAAAGAGTAGAGGAATGTTTACTCTGATCAATGCCTTTTTGGATAGAAAGATCAGCTTTTGTGACATCACACATTTCATAGCAAACACTTCGGGGCAGTTTTCATTATTTATGGAAGTTACAGCATCCCACATAATCATAATTTGTTACCAGGTTGTCAGTGAGTGAGCCAGATTTGCTTAACTACTATGTGATTCAGCCAGTTTCTGACAAAAATAGTCAATGGGGATGCCGGCAGAAAGTCAAAAGTCATGTAATGTGACTTAAGTGATTTGTTTAATGACTGCAGCAGAAGTGACATAAATAATTGCTGTAAAAAATTAGGGAGGAGAGAATGCAAATTAGCTGTAAGATATACTAGAACCATAAGGGTTTGAGGATAAATTGCAAGCCACAATTTATATAGGGCTTGTAAAATGGAATCTATTATGACTTCATGGGTTATATCTCCCATTGAACTCAGTTTTGGAAGTGTTCAAATAATCTTAACATGAATTTATTTAAAATGTATGAATCGGATTTGTATTTTTAATAGTTAAAATACACACTTGGCCTGCCTGCATAAGTTGTATGAAACTATTTTTATAGCTTGACCTTTGCTTATCTCTTGTTTTAATTGTATGGTATATAGTGCCTTTTTCACATATGTCATCCTAAGCTCTGTTTCAACCTTAAGCACACAAAAAAATAGAAAGTTGCTAACTAATCCCAACACACACAAAATCTAAACAGGGTATTAAAAACCCACATGTTATTAAAATCACACTGTTCAAAGCATTTTAGATTTCTAAAGGCAGATAGACTTAATGAAAAAGGACATTTCTGGATATCCATGCTGTACATAAAAACACTCTGTCCTTTTTATATAGCTGCCTTAACCTACATTATGGAAAAGGATTTCTAAAGCATTGATTGATAAGGTTTCTTGCATTCTTATTTCCTGGACAGTTCTTTTACTCCCTTGCTCATCTTGATGTTTTATGCATATAGATCAGAGATGAGGAATCACTAACCTGTGGGGCCACTGTCCATGTCTTTAGAATCTTTCTGCATTATCCATAACCGTTCCTCATTTGAGGGGTAGAGTTGGTACTTAGACTAGCCTTCTCTTGCATTGAGAAGGCTATGCATTTGCCTTGTAGCTGTTCAAAACTATATTGTAATGGTCTTTAAATAATGGAAGTGTTCCATGTTTTTTTCAATTTCTTGCAAAATTTGACTGATTTATGACAATACTTTGAATGTCCCTTGTAGAAAATTATTTTTCCCTTTCTATAGCATTTCTAATTTTTTTCTAATTTAGTTTGGGATATTTTTATCTTAATTTGAAGGACAAACTATAAATAGTATTTTGTTACCCTTGATATGGAAAGGGAGAGAAAAAAATCTACAGGTAGTTGTTGACTTATAACATTCAACTATTCAAAGTTACAGCAGCACTGAAAAAGTGATAACAAATGTTCACACTTAGGACTGTTTTGGCATCCTCACAATGATATGATTGCAATTTCGATGCTTGATAGCTACATGAATTTATGATTATTGCAAGGTCTTGAGTGACATGAGTGTGATTTGAGATCTTCCCAGACTGCTTCCTACAAGCAAAATCAGTGGGGAAGCCAGATTTGCTTAACTATTGTGTGATTCACTTAACAACTACATTGATTTGCTTAAAAACCATGGCAGAAAATAATAAATAGGTTGCAACTCACTGAATACTTCACTTAGTGATGGAAATTCTGGTTGCAATTCACTTATTTATTCAATTTCTATAGGTACCAATGTCAATCACTACCTCTACAATTTACATCCAAAACAAATATAAACAGCAACAAGACAGTCATGCAGCCAAGCTTTACTTTCAGTGTCCCAGGTTTGGGAACACAAGTTTTAAACATTTATGAAAGGCCAACAGGGTTAGGGTTATTGTAATCTCTGAGGGGAGGATATTCCAACCACAGAGTAGGGGCAACTGCAAAAAAGCCCTGTCTTATAGTCTCTGCCACCTTGACACTCTTTGTGGCAGATGAGATCTGTAGCATGCCCAACCTGCTAGATCAAATTGGACGGGAAAAGACTCTTGGAAAAAGGCTATTGTAAATTAAGGACTACATGTATTTTAGCTTGTTTGATGATCTATTGGCAACCTGGCCAGGTGTGAGGAGGGGGTATGTGAGTGGCAGGCACACATGCGCACTCAATGGGCACTTTGCTCGTGTGCCCCATTCTTTCGAGGGGAGGGTGCTTTTTATGCTCATGTGTGAAACTCCATTTATGCGAATGGTGCTTTGTGCCTTGTCAACAGCTCACAGAAGTGAAGTTTCACACACACATTTGCACATTGCCCACATGGCAGGGTTTCAAACAAGGTTGTGGCTCGGCCATTGGGGACCTCCTGTTCTAATACTTGGCAGTCCTGGAGTATTGGTTATTAACAAAGATTAGGAAAGTGCCTATTCTTGATATTCATGTTAGTAAAATAAAAAGGTATATGATTTTGTTAATATTAATCTGCATTTTTTAAAATGGGAAAATAGTTCAATTGGAAAAGTTCATGAAAAGTAATTGACATTAATAGCCTTTTGAATCAATCAATGTTGTAATAAATATTTTGGGATATAATAGTATAGCCGATTGTGCTTCAGTTTAGACCTTGTTTAGTGTCTACAATTGGAATCTAAAACTTGGTTGTTAATCAAAACAGTCACCAAGTGAAAGTGCAACTACTTCTGAACTTATTTCAGTTTCCTTTGAATTTATGACCCGTGAAGGCTATATATACAAGCATTGGTAAGAAAGCTACATTTTCCTCACTGTCATAACTGCCAGTGATCACTAAACAAGGCAGTCACTAAATGAAGATTACCAATATTATTGTTTGAATAAAGTGTTAAGTATAAAATAATGTGAATGACGTGTTTTATTTTAAGTGTATGGGGCAACATTAAAATTTTGCATTTTTAAAATATTTGTTACCAGGTATGATGATTATTACTACTATGGCCCTCCTCATATGCCCCCACCAACAAGAGGTAGAGGTCGAGGAGGAAGAGGTGGCTATGGATACCCTCCTGACTACTATGGATATGAAGATTATTATGATTATTATGGCTATGACTACCATAACTATCGTGGTGGATATGAAGATCCTTACTATGGTTATGAAGATTTTCAAGTTGGAGCTAGAGGAAGGGGTGGTAGAGGAGCAAGGGGTGCTTCTCTTTCCAGAGGTCGCGG